GTCCCAGCTACTTGGGAGGCTGAGGCAAGAGATTCGCTTAAGCCCAGGAGTTGGAGGTTGCTATGAGCTGTGATGCCACAGCACTCTACCCAGGGCAACAGCTTGAGGCTCTGTCTCAAAGAAAGAAAAAATAGTTGACCATCTAGAGCAGTGGTTCTCAACCTTTCTAATGTGGTGACCCTTTAATACAGTTCCTGTGGGTCACTACCCACAGATTGAGAACCACTGGTCTAAAGAAAGAGGACCTCAACTGTGTATACAACATACAAATGTATACCTAGTAACTGGGGAAGCAGGTAGATGGTACAAACAACAAAATAGGGAAATCTTGAGTATAAATGTTTAAACATTAATATAGCCAGTTACTTGTTTCTTCTTTGTACTTACTATTTGTTCTATGTGCTTGTTAACCTAAATGATTGTACTTTTTTGTGAGTTTTATCTCATTAGTTGTGATGGGTCTATATTTCTCAATCAAACATGGTTCTTACTCTACAAAAACCAGTCTGTCCATTATTTGAAGATGGAGCAAGATTTTTTTTTTTCTTGAGACAGAGTCTTGGTATGTCACCCTCAGTAGAGTGCTATGGCGTCACAGCTCACAGCAACCTCAAACTCTTGAGCTGAAGCAATTCTCTTGCCTCAGCCTCCCAAGTAGCTGGGACTACAGGCTCCTGCCACAATGCCCAGCTATTTTTTGTTGCAGGTATAATTGTTGGTTAGCTGGCCCCAGCCAGGTTTGAACCTGCCACCTTCAGTGTATGTGGCTGGCTCCATAATCACTGTGCTACAGGTGCCCAGCCAAGGAGCAAGATTTTTATCTCTGTCAGAATGTAGTCTTAGTCAAGAAACCTGTTTGTATTCTTCTCAGTAAAGTATGTCAGGAATGGAAGAAAAAGAATCCAGTGTACTCAGCCCTACTATGAAACTAACTTATAGCTTTCATAGGAAAACTATAACCCAATATTAGCCCAAGAATATGGGGAAAGGAGGGGGGAGAATGGGTGGAGGGAGGGTGATTGGTGGGATCACGCCTATGGTTCATCCTATAAGGGTACATGTGAATCTCTCTAAATGTAGAATATAAATGGCTTAACACAATAACTAAGAAAATGACATGAGGGCTATGTTAACCAGTTGGATGAAAGTATTTCAAATTGTATATAGAAACAGCACTCTGTACCCCGTGATAGTATTAATGTACACAGCTATGATTTAATAAAAAAAAAAAAAAAGAAACCTGTTTGTCCCATCTGCCCCTACCTGGTGAAACAAGTTTCACTGAACTACATAGTGAACCCTTAGTTTCACAGAAGCCATCTAGCAATTTCTTCCCATCATAACTCTGAAATTATTACAGAATAAAGGAAACCGGGATATTGGATTCTCACATCTCCGTCAAAAATCTTCCCAAGAAATTGCTCATTGCGTTGTCCAATTGCTGACCCCAATTTGTAACCATCTGGAGAATATTCACAACTACTTCCAGGTCAGATGCTAATTTTATCATTATAGAGACTTAGAAATTACTAAGTTAATGCAAGATTTCATTTTTGGCTGAGAAAAATGAGGGCAGTTGCTGAAGCAAGTGTCCTAGAATCATTTTCCTTTTTAGTGCTTAGCATCTGAGAATCATGATGTGGTTGATGGACCAGGAATGAAAGTTCAAGAGTACTACATAATGTCTTCCTGCTATCAGAGGATACTGCAGATTTTTCATGGGCTTTTTGCTTGGTGAGTATATAGGAAGTATGGCAATAAAGAGAAATGGGTATATACTTAATTTTACTTGGTGTCACCAAGGCACTAAGTGTACAAAAGAAGGCTCAAAAATCTTATGTAAATATGATGCTTTATTCGTTTGGGTTTTTTGTTTGTTTTATTTTTGAAGCAGAATCTTTCTCCAGCCCTGAGTAGAGTACCTTCGTGCTGTAGCTCACAGCAACCTTGAACTCTTGGACTTCAAGAGATCCTCTTGCCTCAGATTTCCAAGTGGCTGGGACAACCACCACAACTCCCAGTTAGTTTTTCTATTTTTAGCAGAGATGAGGTCTTGCTGTTGCTCAGGCTGGTAAGCATGAGTCACTGCACCCAGCTGCCTTATTCTTTTTTGCTGTGACTCCCTCAGCTGAGAAAAAGACTCAGGCCCTACTTGATGCAATAATTAAGTAGAAATTTATTACACCTACGCAGAGGACTATTACTTAGGCAAGCACTCGGTGTTGAATGGAAGGCAGGTGGCCTTTTTATACCTTATTTTCTGCATAACTCAGCAAGCAAGCAAAAAAACAAAAGCCAAACATTGTAGTTAGCTTAGAGTGGGGGTAACATTAGCTCAGGGGTCACATTGGGGGTTACATAGTTCAAGGTGGGGGTACATAAGTTGAGAAAGTTTCTGAAAGCTTGGGACTTTCCACCAGGGACTTTTTCTGGAATCCACCCCTCCCTGCATACCTCCTTATCTCTAGGCCTCTTCTTGGAATTTTACCTCCCACCCTTGAAGGGGCTGGGACTAAAGGACTCAAGAAAAGTTTCTTTTTCTAGGGTAGGGGGCTCAGTTATTACGTTTTTGAAGTGTTGTATCATTTCATTTGATCTTTCACCCTCTGAGTCAGGCGTCCTCAAACTATGGCCCGTGGGCCACATGCCGCCTGCCTAGGACATTTATCTGGCCTGCCAGGTGTTTTTGCCGCTGCTACCTGTCCTGCTTAGCAGCTGACTAGTCCCAGTGCCCGCAGTCCAGCCCTCCAACGGTCTGAGGGACAGTGAACTGGCCCCCTGTTTAAAAAGTTTGAGGATCCCTGCTCTGAGTCATTTTTTGTTTGTTTGTTTTGAGACAGTGTCTCACTATGTCACCCTCCATAGTGTGCTGTGGCATCACAACTCACAGCAACCTGCAACTCTTGGGCTTAAGCAGTTCTCTTGCCTCAGCCTCCTGAGTAGCTGGGACCTAAATCGCTCACCACAATACCCGGACTTTTTTTTTTTATTATTTCAGTTGTCATTGTTTAGCAGGCCTGGGCCAGGCTCGAATCCACCAGTTTTGGTGTATGTGGCCAGTACCTGACTCACTGAGCTACAGGCGCCAAGCCACACCCATTAGACTCAGATACTCAAAGTCTTAACAGAGTCACGATTTGACAAATTAGGTGACTTGCTGGTAAGTTAACTTAATCTGGCCATCTGATTCTTAGTCCAGTTTCTTTTTTTTTTTTTTTTTTTTTGGCTGGGGGCTGGGTTTGAACCCGCCACCTCCAGCATATGGGGCGGGCACCCTACTCCTTTGAGCCACAGGTGCTTCCCTCTTTTTTTTTTTTTTTTTTAATTAAATCATAGCTGTGTGCATTAATGCAATCATGGGGTACAATGTTCTGGTTTTATATACAATTTGAAAAATTTTCCTCAAACTTGTTATCTTAGTGTAGTTTTTTGTAGCAAGTTTTCTATTATGATACTGAAGAAGACTTTTTTTGCGGGGGAGGGAAGTGGGTTTTTTTTTTTAGGCAGAGTCTCAAGCTGTTGCCTGGGTAGAGTACTATGATGTCATAGCTCACAGCAACCTCCAGTTCAGGCTTCAGTGATCCTCTTGCCTCACTTTTTTTTTTTGAGACAGAGCCTCAAGCTGTCCCCCTGGGTAGAGTGCTGTGGCATCACAGCTCACAGTAACTTCTACCTCCTGGGCTCAAGCAATTCTCCTGCCTCCACCTCCCAAGTAGCTGGGACTATAGGCACCTGCCACAATGCCTGGCTATTTTTTTTTGCTTGCCACCGTCATTGTTGTTTGGCAGGCCCGGGCTGGATTCGAACCCACCAGCTCAGGTGTATATGGCTAGTGCCTTAGCCGCTTGAGACACAGGGCCCAAGCCACTCTTGCCTCACTTTTTATATTTTTAGTAGAGATGGGGTCTCTTTTGCTCAAGCTGCTCTCAAACTCATGAGCTCAAGTAGTCTACCCATCTTGGCCTCCTAGAGTGCTAGGATTATAGGCATGAGCCACCCTGCCTGGCTGACAAGACTGTTATTAGACTGGCATTGTTACTTAAACAAGTTGTAATTAAATTTTAGATTATGTGGCAAAGAGCTAAACACGATGTGAGATGGAGTGATTTTTTTTCCCATGAAAAAATCATGGAAGCAGTAGCACTTGATTGAACCCTGAAGGTGTAAGTGGCCTTCAGGAGAAGGTAAAGGAAGGAGTTCAACTGCCTACTCAACACCTCCCTAGATGTATCATGACACTTCAGACTCATCACATTCCAAAACAGAGCATAGCATCCTTACCAGTGCTCCTTCAGCTTTGCCTGGCTTGGTAAATGGTACTACCACTTGCCTGAGCCAGAAAGTAGCATTTATCTTAGTCCTTCCCTCTACTTTCTGCCCTTTGTCTCTTCTACATCTGATTACCCAAACCTGTTGATTTTTCCTTCTAGGTAACCTACAGATAGCCATCCGTTCCTCTTTCTCCACTGCTTCCAGACTCCCATCATCTCTTACCTAGACTTATCTCTAACCTGTAAGGAATGAGGGAGAGCTTTCTTCCCTTAAAAATAAACCTCTGTCAGCTTCACACCTGCAGCTCAAGCAGCTAAGGTGCCAGCCAGATACACCAGAGCTGGTGGGTTCAAATCCAGCCCAGGCCTACCAAAGAACAATGACAATTACAACCAAAAAATAGTTAGACATTGTAGCAGGCACCTGTAGTCCCAGCTACTTGGGAGGCTGAGGCAAGAGAATCACTTAAGCCCAAGAGTTGGAGATTGCTGTGAGCTGTGGTGCCACCGCACTCTACCCAGGGCAACAGCTTGAGGCTCTGTCTCAAATAAATAAATAAATAAATAAACCTCTGTTGTATTCAGCCCTATGTATTAGTTTCATATTACTATGAAACTAATTTATAGCTTTCATATGAAAGCCAACTATAGCCCAAGAAGAAGGGGAAAGAGGAGAGGGAAGGAGGGGAGAAGGGAGAATAGGTAGAACGAGGATAATTGGTGGGACCACACCTATGGTGCATTTTACAAGGGTACATGTTAAATTTATTAAGGGTAGAATATAAATGTCTTAACACAATAACTAAGAATATGCTAGGAAGGCTGTGTTAACCAGTTTGATGAAAATATTTCAAATGGTATATAAAACCAGCACATTGTACCCCATGATTGCATTAATATGCACAGCTATGATTTAATTAAAAAACCTTTGTCTTTATATTTATTTAATTTTTTTGTAGAGACAGAGTCTTACTTTATTGCCCTCAGTAGAGTGCTATGGCATCACTGCTCACAGCAACCTCCAATTCCTGGGCTTAGGTGATTTCTTGCCTCAGCCACTCGAGTAGCTGGGACCACAGGCGCCCACCACAATGCCTGGCTATTTTTTTGTTGCAGTTTGGCCTGGGTCAGGTTTGAAGCCACCACTGTCAGTATATGGGGTTGGCCCCCGACTGGCTGAGCCACAGGAACTGCCCAAAACCTTTATCTTTAAAGAAAGACTATTTTGGGTGCGCTTCAGCTTCTAATCTGATACATAGAACTGTGACTGACGCCTGTAATTCCAGCACTTGGGAGGCCAAGGCAGGTAATGGCTTGAGCTCACAGGTTTGAAACCAGCCTGAGCCAGAGCGAGACCCTGTTTCTAAAAAATAGCCAGATGTTATGGGCACCTATAGTCTCAGCTACTTGGGAGACTGAGTCAGGAGAATCGTTTGAGCCCAAGAATTTGAGGGTACTAGGAGCTATGATGCCATGGTACTCTTATTAAGGGTGATCAAGTGAGACTCTGTCTCAGAAAAAAACCAAAAAAACTGTGATTGAATTTGGTATTTAAGTGTTTTTTGTTGTTTGTTTGTTTGTTTGTTTGTTGAGACAAAGTCTCACTCTATTGTCCTGAGTTGAATGTCATGGTGTCATCAGGAACCTCACACTACTGGTCTCAAGGGATCTTCCTACCTCACTTTCCCAAGAAGCTGGGATAGGCACCCACCACCATGCCTGGCTAATTTTTCTATTTTTAGTAGAGATGGGGTCTTGCTGGTCAGGCTGGTCTCAAACTCTTGAGCTCAAGGGATCTGCCCGTCTTAGCTCCACAGAGTGCCTGGATTACAGATATGAGCCACTATGCCCAGCCTAAATTTTTTTTTTAATCTCTGTTGACTTATTGGAGATATGGACTAGAGACCAGGGTCCTCAAATGCTATCTAATTAATCTTCCTGAAACTAAGCTAAACTTTCTTACATTAACTTTCCCTTAGGAGTGGATTTTCTCGACCTGAAAATTATAATTTACTGTACTCAGCCCTTGGGGTTCTTAGTGGCCGACTGAAGCCAGGAGAACGTGATCAGGCCTTGGAGGAACTGCTCAGGTGGGTCAGACTACATACCCCAGTGTTCTCCCAAAGCACTCCTGGGATTAAGATTGGAAAGATTTCTTTGAAGTAACTCTGGGTGGGAAGGAAATCAGTATTTTTCAGCTACTTTCCTTAATAGATGAGCTTTCTCACCTATGTATTCAGATAAATCCTGAAGCATTAGAAACTATTCAATAAATCATGCTAAATCTTCATGAATGCATCAGCCTATATACTGTCTTTTCAGGTAATGATCATGAAAACATTGACCATCTCTAGTCAACTCCTGATTATCCAGAGATCTACTCTGTCTCCCAGCAGTGATGGATAATCAGTCATGAACTAGTTATCACTGGTTACTTATCTCATTCCCCACAATCTTGGAGGGAGACTGTATATGGCTAAGGGCTAGGCAGTGGACAAGGGAGGTGGGAAGGTGATCTCCGGGGCTTAGCTTTCAACCTCCTACCCCAGCTCCAGCAAGAGTGACTAGTCTTTTTCTCTCACCTCTCCTGATCACTGGGTCAGCCTCAGTGCTTGTAATTCCTGCCCATAGGACAGGACTTTTAAAAATTTTAGGCCAGGCGTGGTGGCTCACCCCTGTAATCCTAGCACTCTGGAAGGCCAAGGTGGGTGGATTGCTTGAGTGCATGAATTCAAGACCAGCCTGAGCAAAAAGCAAGACCCCATCTCTACTAAATATATAAAAAGTGAGGCAAGGCGACTCCTATAGCTCAGTGGGTAGGCGTCTATAGTCCCAGCTACTAGGGAGGTTGAGGCAAGAAAATCACTTGAGCTCAACAGTTTGAGGTTGCTATGAGGTGCGACACCACGGCACTCTACCGAGGGTGACATAGTGAGACTCTATTTCAAAAAAAAGTGGGGCAAGATCACTTGAGCCTGAGTTGGAGGTTGCTGTGAATATGACGCCATGGTATTCTACCCAGGGTGACAGCTTTAGACTCTGTCTCAAAAAAAAAAATGTTAAATATAGTACAGTGGCTTATACCCTATCAATCAATCAGGAGTTGACTCTAGTTTTTTTGTAACTATATTTTTGGATTAGATGTGATTCTCCATCTCCCATACTTCAGTGTATTGATAGTGACCATATCTGATGCATTTACTCAAAGCTGTACTTGCTCTACTTTATGTTAATAACTTCCTTTCACTTCTCAATATGAACCACATTTTAAGCATTGTTTTAAGCATGTTGTCTAAGGCTTCAAGAGCAAATAATATACAGGGTTGTATATGTTAGCACGGTCCTTGGGTTTCTTGGCATATATCAAAGGCCAATAGTTCCATTTGTGGAGCTCTCTTTTGCCTTGGCTTTCTCCATCCAAAAATATGGTTTTCTACCAAGATGCTTGAGAGAAAGTTGTTACTACAGCTTCTAATTAACCCATGAAACACTTAAAGGACGTGAGGATGTAAACATATCTGTGATACATATGCTAATGTTGTATTTTTTGCTTTTTGTTTTTCTTTTCTCTTTACAGCCAGAGCTTCCATTACTTGCAGAATTTCCATCAGAGCATTCCTAATTTCCAGTGTGCTCTTTATCTCATCAGATTTTTGATGGTCATTTTGGAAAAATCTAGAGTTCCTGCCCCGAAAAAAGAAAGAATTGGTGATGAGCCCAGATCTTTTTTTTCTTTTCCATTAATAGGATTAATTTCTTATACTTCTAAACTTGAGGCTTCCCAGGACTTTGTACATTTTTCCATGTAAATCCCCATGTAACCTTGCATAGGCCCTCTTGCTGTACCAAGAAGGACCCAGAAGAAACTATGACTGATTTTGGCCAACATTGCTCAATCTGAGTTTGATTAGATCAGTTAGCTAGATAATTTTCTGTTTAATCGTGTTCTTCCTTTATTCATTTATTTATTTATTTTTGTGACAGAGTCTCACTGTTGTTCCCTGGGTAGAGTGCTATGCCGTCACAGCTCACAGCAACCTCAACTCTTGGGCTTAAATGATTCTCTTATCTCAGCCTCCCAAGTAGCTGAGACTCCAGGGGCCCACCACAATGCCCAGCTATTTTTTGTTACAGTTGTCTCTGTTGTCTGGCAGGCCCTATGTGTATGTGGCTGGCACTGTAACTGCTGAGCTACATTTATTTTTAATTATATCAGACAGGCTAGGCGCAGTTGCTCATGCCTATAATCCTAGCACTCAGGATTGCCTGAGCTCACAAGTTTGAGACCAACTTGAGCCAGAGCAAGACCCCATCTCTAAAAATACCCAGCCTCCCTAGTAGTCCCAGCTAGAGGGGCTGAGGCAAGAATATCTCTTAAGCCCAAGAGTTTGAGGTTGCTGTGAGCTATGACGACACAGCACTCTACAGAGGGTGACACAGTGAGACTCTGTCTCCAAAAAGAATAAGAAATGCAAAACAATCTTTATCATGCCTTATTGATTAAGAGAAGAAGGTTTGGTCTGAATCTGTATGTTGGCCACTGCTATTGACCTGCCCAGGAGGAGTAACATCCCCTTTCCCACTCTCTGGCAACATGTCATTTCTCTGTGTGTGTTTTTTTGTTTGTTTATTTGTTCTGAGACAGAGCCTCAAGCTCTCACCCTGGGTAGAGTGCTATGGCATCATAGCTATAGCAATCTCTAACTCCTGGGCTTAAGCGATTCTCTTGCCTCAGCCTCCCAAGTAGCTGGGACTACAGGCATCCACTATAACAGTCGGCTATTTTCTGCTTGTGGTTGTCGTTGTTTGGCAGGCCCAGGCTGGATTTGAGCCTGCCAGCTCTTGTATATGTGGCTGGCACTTTAGCCACTTGAGCTACCTGCACTGAGCCTTTTCGTTGTTGTTGTTGAGATAGAGTTTATGTTGCCCTTGGTAGAATGCATGGCGTCACAGCTCACAACGATCTCAAACTCTTGGACTTAAGTGATTCTCTTGCCTCAGCCTCTCACGTAGGTGGGACTACAGGTGCCCGCCACAATGCCTGGCTATTTTTTGGTTGTAGTTGTCATTGTTGTTTGGCAGGCCCGGGCTGGATTCAAACCCGCCAGCTATGTTTAAGGATGGGGCAAAGGTGGGATGTGTTACATCTTAGACAAATGGGTTCATTTCTGACAGAAGAGCCAATGGAGTGTGAATGTGACAGCTTTTTAAAAATTTCCCATTAGGCTCAGCGCCCATAACATAGGGGTTACTTCTCCAGCCACATACACCAAGGCTGGCGGGATCAAACCTGGCCTAGGCCAGCCAAACAATGACAACTACATTAAAAATAGCTTTGTGTTGTGGTAGGTGCCATTAGTCCCAGCTACTTGGGAGGCTGAGGCAAGAGAATCACTTAAGTCCAACAGTTTGAGGTTGCTGTGAGCTATGACACCAGGCACTCTATTGAGGGTGACAAAGTGAGACTCTGTCTGAAAAAAAAAAAACAAATTTCCCATTAGACTAGGAAGATTTTAGTAAAAACAAGTACTGTTTATTTCCCATTCCTTAGATGCCTTTATCTTGTTTTCTAACAGCTTCCCTGGCCAGACAGTTCCTCTGTCGGGTATGGCCTAGTGGGGAGAAGGAGAAGAACGTCTCTAATGACCAGCTCCATGCTATGCTCTGGTAAGTTTTGGTCTCTCCCAATAAACTAAATAGCCTTTTTCCACTTTGTTGGGATCCTTTGTCTTGTCACAGACTGAGAAATGATCTTTGTGAGGAGGAACTTGAAAGCAATGAACACTATTTGGAATATGTGAATCTTTAAATCCTCTAATTGTGTTTTATACTTCCTTATTGTTAATTCATAGAGAAAATAGAGCAATCTGTGGTTGTATCCAACCTTATTAATCAATAAGTCAAATATTGATTTGCTTCTCAATGCAGTATCTACTTGGAACACACAGATAGTGTTCTGAAGGCCATAGAGGAGATTGCTGGCGTTGGTGTCCCAGAATTAATCAGTTCTCCTAAAGATGCATCTTCCTCCACATTCCCTACACTGACCAGGTAAGGGCGTTCTTGCCTCTAGTTTTTTGATAAGATGAGATGACAGTCACACTGCAATATATGTAGTTTCTGAATAACTACTTCTCATCTCATTCTGATACAGGGTAGATATAGTCACTTATTCAACAAAGAGTAGCTACTGTGCATTCCTTCCAAAGGCCTCTCAGCCAACACATATGAGAGAACCTTGTTCAGGAATGAATTTTCTGTAGTTACAGTCAGCAAAGGAGTTTCACTGGAGCTTGGAGAACCAAATTTCTCCTTGCCCGTCCTTCTATCCTTTAAACTTGAAACCATTTTTCTAATATTTTAACTACCTTTAGAACAACAAGGTGATTGTAGCTATTCATGTGTGTCTCACCTAATGGATTTGTCTCAGAATATCAATAGTTGTCTTAGACTTGTAGTCTTTTTGGTTTATAAAGCCCTTTCACCTTATTTATCTCATTTGATCCCTTTGGTAATTCTGTGATTCTGTGGGTATCATTACCCCTATTTTACTGTTGAGGAAAATGAGGTTTAAAACAGGAACTTCTCGGCTCGGTGCCTATAGCTCAACCGGCTAAGGCGCCAGCCACGTACACCTAAGGTGGCGGGTTCAAATCCCCAGCCCG